GCCTGTCCACAACTTCTTCAACCTCAATCACAATAATACACGGGAAAACTACCAATACAAACTCAAGGTAAACCACTCCAAACTCGATTGCAGAAAATACAACTTCAATAACAGAGTGGTCAGCGCCTGGAACACTCTACCGACTCTGTTGTTACAGCCTCAAACCCTTACAACTTCAACGTCAGTCTGTCTACCGTGGACCTCACCCCATTTCTAAGAGGTCCTTAAAGGGGGCGTGCATAAGTGCACCAGCATGCCTACGGTCCCTGTCTTACTGTCCCCATTGATCTGTATTTATTCCCTTGTTCTTGTTTATGTTCATACTTATACTTGTCATTCTGTACATGTTTGACCAATAAATACAAGAACAAGAAAAGAAAAGAAAAGAAAAAAGAATCATTAAGAGTCCTCCTAAGTGGGTCTTAAGTGTGTCCTCCTTGGTGAGCCTGTGATGTGATCTTGATATTCCTGGGGACTGATGCAAAAGTAGCATATAAAATAGGGACAAGTTGTGTCTGAGGCTACACCTCTGTTGAGGGAAGGATTTTCCATTTTGGCATTAAAAAAATTATTTCACTCCTCTCTCAAACCATCACATAGTCAAAAAGAAAAGATGTCCAGTTGCCATTACTCAACTTCCAGACAATGGATGACTGGATGACTGAGAATATTTATCAACATATTGTCAAGGTTGAGGAAACACTGCTGTCCAGAGTGGATAGATCTGACCCAGCCAGGATCCCTTTTGCTTATGGTGCCTTTTTCACGGGTGACAAACATTTGGATGTAAGCATTGGGTAGTGGCCAGAAAGTTAACTTTCACAAAGAACCCAAACCACAATATGCATTCAACTATAGGCAGATCTCCCATACTCCATAACTGACAATGAGTCCTGTGGATTTTGATGGGATTGGGTTTTTTTGTAAAAGAAGTGTCAAAATTGCCTTAATAACTGCTCCATCAGAGACACGTACCTGTTTATATCCAACACATGCACTCCATATTTGCTTTCGATGGTATACTTCCCGGGCTCACTTGCAGGAGTAATCAATTCTTCATTTTTGTACCTGAGAAGCAAAACCAAAAAACACAAAATCAAAAGCTCGCAGCTTATGCTGAAAAGCAAATTGCAATGTAATTCAGGCAAAATTGATGGCACTCTATTGTTTGACAGGAAAGACACTCGCTGTTGGCTTCATTTTTGATGACTATCAACATAAATAGAAATAGCATTAGAAAACTATTGCAGAAACAAGCAAGAATATCAAAATCACCATGAGTCTTCGGCATGTCTTGGGATGTGATCTGTTATATAACTTGACATCTCCACAACAAAAGGTGGCACTTTGAAAAGCCATTAAGTTAACTTCTGTCTTGAAGACCTACTAGGAAAGCTGTGCCCCAGGAACCTGAGCGGGAGGAAGCTAACATTTCCATAAATTGGGAAGTAGCTCAATTATAACTTCCCAAAGCAGTGTTTCAAAACCCAAACTAGTTTTACATTAGTTTACACTAAGCCAGAAGTAAATTAGATCAGCTACCAAACATGATTGACACTGTGGGATTTTATCAGGAGCTATGCAAAGGTTATACACAGAGGTCCCCTTGAGGTACCCTGAGATTATATTTACAGTTTTATTCTTGCTGCATACACCCATAGTTTCAGTCGAATGTCATTTTCTCTATTGAGTTTCAAGCTTTTATATTTTCATATCCTAATGAAGAAGCATTATCAAAATCACTTTGAGACTTAATGATAGATTGAAGAATTATTCAACTTTGTCCAGAAGGGCATATAGCACTCTGCCCCCTGATATTTTCTCAATGAACATCTCAGCGTGCAACCCATTTCAAGCTCTAAATTCTCCAATCAATGCCTTCAAGACTAAAGTCGGAAGCTTCTGTGTCATTCATGTTAAGTCAACGGCATCTCTCCAGAATGTCTTTGAGGATTATAAAGGATTCTTAAACATAGCCAATATAAAAGTGACATTTAATAGCTGGGTTATTACATGAATAACACTTAGCACCATCTTGAGATTCCTGGAAAGAGTCAAAGGCTTACCATTGTACAACAGGGGTGGGAAATCCTTGGACAGTACAATAAAGCCTGACGGACATCCTTTCCCACACAGTATGAGATCTCAGCCGCACTAAAAATTCCGGAGCTCGGATGATGCTTTCTTCAGCCACATACCTTTCCAAGGCCATTTTCTCCTCTACCTGTAAAGCAATGGTGGGGAAATCACTCACTAACCTGGAAAGAGCCCTTCAGTTCATGTATTAAGCTAAGTTATAATTTTAAAGCATTTTTAAAAAAAATTTAGAAAAATCTATAGCCCACATGTTCATGTTTTTTTTTAATAATCCCTGTGGACATAACTCAACTAAGATGTGTTATTTTATTAACCAAAATTAATTCATTTAATTCAAACCATCACTAAATAAATAGTTAGAATATTAATAAATGCATTTAAAACCTCATTCTACAGACCCTGGAAAGGATTCCAGAAAGAATCAAGCCATGGTGTCAGTTAACCTGAGTTGTGAATGACAGGTGTGAATTTGGGCCAACTTCCACTGTTGTCATAATGAGGTTGGCTTGATTCATTTTGCCTTGACGTTATGCTAGCAACAATGTTTTGTAAATTATGGAATACAACAGGGGTCTCCAAACTTAGCAACTTTAAGACTCGTGGACTTCTAATCCCAGAATTCTCCAGCCATCATGGCTGGCTGGGGAATTCTGGGAGTAGAAGTCCACAAGGCTTAAAGTTGCCAAATTTGGAGGCCTTGGAATATAGTATAACATGCCAATCCAGCCCTTGTGACTTATTCAACAAACCATGGTTCAAATAAATGATGGCTTAACATGAGTTATGAACCCCAGTGGTTCAGCCTGTTCTGGTAGGAAAGCAAGTATTGGTGGAGATTGTTTTCTGCTAATAGAAAGGAATTGAAAATAAGGTACCATCCTCTGTATGGCAACTTTATCCAATTGTTCTCTAGCAAGGAGTCGGGCTATTCGAAGCTCATCCTCTAAAGCAGCCAAACTCTTGACGTATCGGATCCTCCTCTGCTCACTCCAGTGCAAAGACTTTTGCTCCTGACTCCTGCAAGATCCGAGGGAAAACTAATTAGGTTTCACCCAGTATCAAACTGATCATACTGTTACCAAAGTACCGCAGGAGGTCAGGGAAAGTTATGAAAGTTATCCCTTTGACAGTATTAAGTTGGACAAACTGAAACCTGGTGTAGTGGTGAAGGCGCTGGCTTAGAAACCAGGGGACTTGGGAGTTCTAATCCCACCTTAGCAATGAAAGCCTGGCCACTTTCTGTCTCATCCCAACCCACTTCACAGGGTTGTTCTTGTGGGGGAAATAGGAAAAGAAAGGAGTATCAAGTAAATCCACCACCCTGAGTTATTTACAAAAATAATAAAGGTGGGATCAAATTCTAATAAATAAACTCCATAGAAGTGACTGAGAACTTTGCAAGCTCTCTTTAATTATAAGTAAGTTGTACCTTTCCTCTAAGATGCATCCATGTACATCCCATTTTATCCCCCCAAAATCCCTTGTGGGTGGTTACTGTGATCAAGATCATACGGTAAACAAGGAAACATCCAATGAGGACATAGTATTGTCCAGATTTAACCTAATGCTCTAAAAACATCAGACTATCTTGACATTCTTTGGTGGAGAATCCACTATCACAGGGAAGGAATTCATCAAAAAAGCAGGAAAGTCCCTAGTCTTTGAAGAAAGATGCTTTGTGGTGTCTTCACAGAGAGTTTTACACAAAGCAGCTTCCCAGGCAACAGTTCCTCCTGTCTCCCACTCTTCCATCTTACTTGACATCGAAACACCTATGTTAGCCAGCCTTCCTCTGCTTTACATAACAACAAATATGCAGCAAAGACATTCGAATTAGTATTGCCATAGAATAGACTGGGGCAAATTTAGGTAACACTAAATGGATTGGGATAACATCACGTCTCTACAATACACTTCTTTCCAATGGAATAAAGTACAGGTCCAGCATCTCTTTTGTGATTCTGGGAGCGTGTTGGAGGTAGGGGTTAAATATATTTAAGGGGAGAAGATGGTATATCTATTTTACCCCCAAAGCTTTTTAACTTCATTCCAAAGCTGATTATCCCAATAATGTCATGATGTCACTGGCTGCATCATGACATCACTGACTATGGGAGAAAGAAAAGGGAGGCAGGAAAAAGAAAGAGAAAAAAAGAGGAAGGAAGGAAGGAAGGAAGGAAGGAAGGAAGGAAGGAAGGAAGGGGATCTTGGTCCATCTCTAAAGAAGCAAAAGCAATAAGAAGAACATTTAGACACCTACATAAATAACTTGGAATTGCTTCAAGCACTAGAGGGATATTTTAAGTACTAAAAATACCATTTCAGATTTCTCAAATAGCAAGACACGATTCAGATATCTGAATAAATAGCCCAGCCTATCCAACTCATTTCTGAGCCATACCCTGTGTGCCTGTATGTTTAACCTTCTCTAAAATAAATATGAATTTAAATGAGCAAAAGGCTGACAGGAAAATATTTTCAACCCTGTTACCTTTTCTACTGCATAGTTAGTTATGAAGCGTATTTGAAGAGCTGATGCTACCATACTGTTATAGCAGAGCTGCTATAAAAGATTGATGGCAGACATGCTAATATGGTTTGTCAGTGTGGTGGTCAGATAAGTCTCTCTCTCTTACTCTCTCTCTCTCTCTCACACACACACACATACACACACACACATCCCACTTTCTCCTCTAGGGCATTCCTAATGTGAATGCCAACACTCTTTTTTTCCCAGGAACCACCCTACTAGTGGTACCGAGGCAGTATGAGACCTAAACAGGGAAGTCTTCCTTGTCATGAGAGCCATTTTGCCTCATGAGGAATCCCAGGTGATTTTTTTTACATTCTGGACCCAGTTCCTCATGGAAGACCAAATCACTAACTATAGATTGGTCACTTGAACCAAGGTCATCATTCACCTTCCTTGCAGAAGTAAGACTGCCAAGAGGAAACATGAGGATCCTCAACTGACCTGCAGAGGAATGGGATGCAGATATTGCCATAACTTTACTTTTCATAACACAGTGGGAGCAGGTCACTGATATATTTGCTGTACGGAACGTCAGTGGGCACACAGCCATTCACACAAATAGGAGTAGAGTTGCCCTGAGGACATCTCCTGGCTTCAACTGAGAGATCACCTTAAACCTCCCAAGTGATTAAGAGAGAACAATTCTCAAGGTATGTTTTTCAATCCTTCAGCATTTAGGTAGAACTTTGCCTGTTTGCTTTAAACCGAAAAGCTGACTTGTGTTTAAACCAATTTTAAAGCCTATTTCTAGCATGGGAACATATCAGGTATGAGATTTAAGAGACACCCAATGCTTTGGAATTCTAGATCTAATAAGTTAATGAAGAACTTGCTATGCTGCAAGTGTACAGCTGCATGTTGACAGCTCTCCCCAGAGCTCTGAGGATTTGAAAACTATCAAGATAATTAGTTTTCTTTCTTTTTTGAAGGCCTTTGGGAGTTAGAGCAAGAGGGCCCTAAACAGTTTTTATAACAATGTTCCAAGTAACATTTAGGATTATACCTGGGACTCCATGCCTGTGAAGCTATGGAGATAAGCATCACTCCCCATGAACGTTAGAAGAAATCAAAAAAGTTGCTGTCCAAGATCTAGCTGAGTATTCCTACTCAACGTGTCAAAGTGATCTTTGCTTTTTCAGCAACTCTGAAAAAAATCTCTCTATTCTTTCTTTTTCCTGATGTCCCTCCTAATGGATTTCTCCTTTATATGGACCAATTGCTACTCCTCTTCTTTTTCACCCACCTTTGCTAGATCTAAGCATGTCAATCAAGGACATTTTCTCCACATGCCAGTTTCCTAAATTGCATAGTCAATCAGTAGAGAAATGTTTGGTCCTGGATATCTTTATGGTTATAGCTAAAGAAAGTTTTACCTTTCCTGGTATTCCTGTGAGGCCACTTCCTGTGAGGCCACTTCAGATGCTGTATGGAGCTTCCGGGCACAAAGTACGCATGTTGTTTTGCCTAGGCTGGATGATGTTTGGTAGGCCTGTCTAGAAGCAGCCCTTCAAAATGCAGAATAATACTTCTAGTAGCGGTGATCATAATAACAATGGCAGCAACACATTGAACATGTTTAAACTTTCTATAACTTTCGAGGCAAAGAAAAAAACTGACCGCTGACGAATTTGTATACATCACCTATTCTTACATTTCACATCTGCCTTTGCCTAGCTTTTAAGTAGGAGAAGATAATCTAATAGGATGTTTTATTCTGGGATGGTTAATTCTGATTCTAATATAGACCATACTTCCCTGCTAAGAGGAACTAGGGTTCTGTCAAAGATTCAAATGGGAACAGAATACAGTGATACTTTGGTACTCAACTGTTTTGAAACACATTGAATGTGGTACTCAATGCATTTTCACATGAAAATTTTGTCCCAGTACTCATCATTTGTTGCACAAGCTGGAACTTGTCAGTGTAGGCTGCCTTGTGACTCATTACATTATTCCTTATGGGAAAAAAAGTTTGGTACTCAACATTTTTGGTACTTATCACACCTCACAGAACCAATGAATGATGAGTACTAAGGTACCACTGTAAGGAAAATTCATGAACATTCAGAATAATTTATCAATAAATTCACTATATTAAAAACAATAAATTTAATATCTCTTACAGATATGGTGAAAATGTCAAAGTTTGTGTTCTACAAAAAAAAAAAACAATTTTCATTTTCTCTATTCTATTTGCTAAAATAATTCCTTGTTATACATAAAAGAAAAAAGCCGATAATCCCTTGCAAAATGATGGACAGACTGAAAATAGGAGCTGATCCTTTTCAAAATATGCCTGCAGGACCATCTTGAAACTTTGTTAAAAAAACATGTTGCATTGTTCTTATAACAGCTCTTCATCACTCTGGTCCCAATACCAGCATACACATTTCCTAATGTCATCCATCCATAATAAGGCAAAAAGTAGAAATCTTCAACTACAGTTTTTATAGTCATTTCTTAGAGATGTTGTAGTGGACTATGTCCTTCTACATCTATTATTATTATTATTATTATTATTATTATTATTATTATTATTATTATCCACAAGTGTATTGTAATCCTGACAATACTATGAATTGTTGAGTAAATCTATGAACCCTACCCTGGATCTTCATTCAAATGAACTCTTAAAACCTGGTATTCCCCCAGGGTTAGGGTTAGGGTAAAGATTGGGTGGTGGGTCCTTGGTGAGAATGTTGTGAATTGAGACAGTGTTGGCATTACTGTTTTTACTATTTGTTTTTACTATTCTTATTAACTTGCTTTCAAGATTGTATGCCACTCAGAGTCATAACAGAAAGAGGGTTACAATTGAACCTTACACATGTGATAAGTAAATAAATTGATTGGACACTTCCAAGACTAAACTAGCCCACAATTTTCAGTTGCATCCTGCTATACCTTTGGAAAGTCAATTTCAATGCTCCCACAAAAGATATCAGAACAAGAGACCAATTGTAGATCCCTATGTAATAATACCATAATGTTTGTTATGATTCACTTTGATTAATTGTATATATCAAAAGGTATGCAGATGTGAATTACTTTCATGTAGGAACAACAATGATGCTCCTTACCTCCTTGCTGAATATTCCTGGAGCATCTGTCTAGTATCACGGCTGCGATAAGACAGATCAAAATGCTTGTGCGATTTTTGGTAGAACGGTACTCTCTTAGATGACATGATTGTATCTGCTACTGTTCACTATTCCTGTAAATTAAAAACATTTCAATTTGATCAGAACTTTCTGGCCACTTCATCACATTCTTCAAACTGAAATGGACTATGTAAAAACATTCATTGTTGAATGCCAGTGGCTGCAGCAATTAAAATAACAAAATATGCCATCAAAATATATTGGATTAAATGTTTCATTTCACTTTTTAGGAGATGAGCATTTCAATCCTAAGAATGCTTATAAATCCATCAATCAAGCTGCTGCTCAACTCACATAGCATAATATCAATGTCTTAGGTCCAATGCACTTCATTTCACCATTTAATCCAGTGGTGGGATTCAATTTTTTTTACTACCGGTTCTGTGGGCATGGCTTGGTGGGCATGACAGGGGAAGGATACTGCAAAATCTCCAGTCAGAGATGGTATTTGCTGGTTCTCCGAACTACTCAAAATTTCCACTGCCGGTTCTCCAGAACTGGTCAGAACCTGCTGAATACCACCTCTGATTTAATCATGTAATAGTTACCATCCCCAAAATTTGGCCTAGGAATTTAAATCCACAGTCAAAAATCACTCTGTACATGTTTCATGCTTTTGTCCACAATTAATTTCCACATAGAAACTATATAACTTTTCCAAATTATAGAACTGAAATCATATTTACAGTTGCATAAGATTTATTCCTTACCATTTTTGAAGCAGCATGGTTTGCTATATAACTATTTTATTTTAGTCTAATTATACTAATATTACTAGACACCACTCAGTTATTTTCCCTACAAAACATGGCCTCTATATCTTATACTTCACTTAAACAATTTCTCATTTAGTTATGGTCATCATACAATAACCATCATATCTTTCTGTAGTCACTGTAAAAATGAAATGATGTATCATCAACATCATTTTATCATTTTTATTTTCCTGTTTGATTTTTTAATGGATTTGATGGGATAACTAAAATTCATTTCACCCCTTTACTTATACCCATGAACCTTCAAAAGGTTTTTCATGTGTGCAAATACACAGTCCTTCAGTAATTGCTGTTTTGCTTTATTCTACCAAGAGGTACAATATTTAAAGTGCATCTACAACTCTTTCTCCTACTGGATGCAGGAATTAGGGAGATTGGCTAGATGGGATCCATAACCAGTGGCTAGAAAACATGGCACATTTGTGGGGTTCTTGGTGCTCTCTGAGTTTGGTTATTTTCTTATAGACCTTTCATTACCAAACTAGATAATATCATCAGTGAAAATGATCATCATCATCATCATAAGTGCACTGATGAAGTTGCTACTTGGGTAATGAAACATCTGCAAGAAAATAACCAAGCTCAAAGAGGACTCACAGTTCAACCTACAAATATTCTCATCGATTGATACATGGCAGATCCCTTAAAACAGGGGTCCCCAACCTTGGCAACTTTAAGGCTTGTGGACTTCAACTCCCAGAGTCCCTCAGCCAGCAAAGCTGTCTGAGGAACTCTGGGAGTTGAAGTCCACAAGCCTTAAAATTGCCAAGGTTGGAGACCCCTGCCTTAAAAGATTTTTCTTCCAAAACCTCCCTATAATCTATCATTTGTTTCATGGGCAGGTAAAATATTTTATAAAGCAAAATCTTTTGATTTATAGATCTAGATATGTCTTCTCAATATAACTTTAAAAAGTTAAATATTTCACATATTCTGCTCCCCTCTCTGACAACCTTTCCTACTTACAGTACATCTAATCTGGATTAAGATGATGAGCCCTGTCTTCTGGAATGCTTGTAAAATATTTGCTTGGCTTGTTTTAAATATTCTATAACTCAACTCCATCATTGTCATCATTAGCATCAAGCATGACTGGATGTGATCATGTCTAAGATGGGTGGAAGGAACTTTACTGTTTTATGTTGATGACAGACATTCACTGAATTAGACGTAAATTAATTCCCAAGCATTAGAAGAATTCACTTTGCTAGCATGAGTCCTATTTCTGTAGAGTCAAATCCAATGTTGCATACTTACTTTCATACTGTATGTATATGTGTGTGTGTGTAGATAGATATAGATAGATAGATAGATAGATAGATAGATAGATAGATAGATAGATAGATAGATAGATAGATGTACTACGGGAAGATTAAGAATGTGGTATTATCGCCAAATCCCAGATAACAGGAGCAACTCTACTATTAAGCAGAAGGAATGCCTCAAATCTATAGCAAAATATGTGTTATTTAACTTACTGTTAATGTATATTTACTTCCCCAAAGACAGAAAGGCACCTGAGGATTATTCTGCTTCAAGTAATACACTTACATGGCCAGATTTGAGTACCAGCTAGCTTGAATTAGAAAAAGGGGTACCATTTGCCATTATCTCAAGCAGGGAACAACTTGGATCTGGGCTATTATAATGGTATGAGAGAACAGCCTTGGGAGACAGGAGGAAGAATCACAGCCTAGACAAACTCTGAAAGAATGGTGGGGATGGAAGAAATACCTCAGAAGGGACCTTTCCTAGTTTTCTAACTAGGTAAGCGAGGGAGAATGTACTTTCAGACTTGCAAGGTTCTGTTACTCCAGGTACTAAAAATAATATTCGTACTCATGGTTGGTGCTTCTTTTGTGGACTTCTTGTCTGAAGAAGGGTCTCCTGCTTGAGCAGGAGATTGGATTATAAGACTCCCAAGGTCCCTTCCAATTCTGTTATTCAGGACTTCTTCAAGAGCTGCTATTCCAGCTCTGATGGCAGATGAGATCAAGGATGATGACATAAGCAGTATTGCATATCAAAACACAAGCCACACCTCTTTGCTATTTGCAGACTGGTGTGGCCTACATCTCCCAAAAATATAGAAGCTGGGATGAGACTCTGCTTACTTTATGCCAGCAAAAGCAGTGTGAACCTGCAAATGCCACCACACTGTCCAGATTTAACCTGTACATTTCATTGAACAACAAACTGCTTTGCCCCCTGTCCTAAATGGTTAGACTTTACTGCCACAAGCAGCATGGCATACATTACATTCTGCACTTACAGGTGATCAAGTTACGGTGCTTTTCCATAGGTCAGCTTCTACAAGGATATTGGAGCTGGATCGTGTTCACACTAAAAATTAAGACTCAGACCCTTTGATAGAATGTAATAATTGACTTCCTCTTTATGAAAGACAAAAGGCTCATTTTATTTCCAAGCAATACGAGATCATTATAGATGGTTCCCTTGGGGAAAAGAGAGGTTTCTCTGAATCTTCTACAAACCACCAGCTAAAGGAGGCAATGATATAGAATGTCCATACCCTTGATTCATATAAAGTTTGAGAGACAAACTCTATGTAAGCCTCCATAACTACATACATTTATCCAGGCATTACCTAATTTGGAAAAAGGTAAGGAATTACTATCTAAATATTGAAACTTTTCATTCTAGAAGAAGTGTGGAACTGGTGTATTGATGTTCATAGTCATATCTAAAAATACAGTCTTGAAGAAAACGTCATGCAGACAAAGGACTGTGTTATGCAGTCAATATTAATCTAGGAAATATATCTAGAAATATTTCAAATACAGATAGTTATTGGTTTAAAGCTGGTTGCTTAGTTCAAAGTTACAATGGACCTCCCATGGGTACTTACCCTGGTTCTGAAATTCTGATGGCCAGACACTATCTGTGGTCACATAACCTCATGTCAGACACTCAACAACCAACACATAATTATGGCCGTTGGCAGCATCCCACAGTCATGTGACCACGTTTTAGGATGCTTTTGCTAAAAACTGGCATTTACTTCTAGAATGTTGGCAAAACCAGCCCATAGTGAACCATTGGTTGGCTCAATGACTGCAGCATTTGTTTTGGCAGCCATCTTAGGTCATAGAATTGGGACAAATGGGTGACTAGTTTTAAAACCATCAAAACTTATGGCCATCATGCACAGGGTCCATTACAGTCGTAAGTCAAGTACTACCTGTGTCTTTAAATCCAGCTGCATTAATTGCATGGAATGCTCTAGTTGCCATACCACAATCCAAAGATGAAAGTGGTGTTAAAATGCAGAGTGTAACATGCTACAATGTTCACCAACTTTACCTGCAGGCATTTTCCCTTGAAACAGTTCAGGTTGACAATTATCAAGGGAGAGAAAAGTTCAGCAATTGTAGATACAAACCAAGAATCCATGTTTGGTATTCCTCAGGAGAGTTCCTTTTCTGCACTATAGTCAAATGAAGTCTGTTGTGATGCTAGACTTTCTGTCTTCAAGCAATGAATCTCACTAGCTATGACCAAAAATTGCCATAGGCAAGTTACTCTTCCTACTGCAAGGAAAAGATGAGTAGCTGATAGCCAGTTGGTACTCTCGGATCATGTCTGAAAGGACCAATTATGTAGGGCCAAAATGACTCAGTTTCAGGGGCAGTTGAAACACATCAATTTTTCACTAAGCCCAAATTCATTAAGCCCAAACCTTGATAAAACAAATGAGATATTTAAAAAAATGCAGGCCCATTGTGCATTGTGACCACTTGGTTCACTTAAGCTGAAAAAAAAATGGGAGAAAAAACATAGTTTTTGGGTTTTTTTTTTAAAAGTGCTATGACAGTGAAAACTTATGAAATTATAATAAATCAAATCTAGATCTTTATCACTAGAGGCCATCAAGGCAGAGATCCTATAGAATTTAGAAGTCCATATTTTGAATGAATTAAAACCTAAAGAATGATTGTTAAACTTTCAAATGGTGAAAACTGTTGAGAACAAAACCTTCTTTCAAAAGAAAAACAGTACACAGGAAATCCATGGGACCATTTTATAAAACAGCTTCTCTTGGACAGATGCCAAGGCTTGAATCCTACCAAAAACGTATTAATTAATTCCTGTGCAACTGTTTTATTGTTTTGGGTTGTTGTTTTTCTTCAAAATCAGTGGATTAGCTTCATCAAATTTTGAGATAAATTTAGATGGCTTGACACTTCAGCTTCTGGTAGGAATTTCTTTCACCAGTTCCAGTTTGAAGCAACTAACAAGAAGCTATTTCTTTCTCT